ATTAAGACTAATTAGCTGTCCATCAACTTTTATAAATATGATTTCAAGAATTTTTATAAACTTAGCTAAATTTATATCATTCCTATTTCGTTTATATTATATTATAATTATAGAATTATATTTCGTTATAAAAGGGGTATAGCAATTAACATTTTATAAAATATAATCCAATTATCAACAACAATATCCTCCCATAATTTTTATTGAAATTATTCAAGAAAGAATTAACTTTTAAATGTACATGAGAGACAAAATTCTACATCTAGAATTAGAATTAAATAAGTCAAAATCCAAACTTTAAACCCACAAAAATATAGATTCTCTCACTTTCTATGATGACATGGAGGGCACTAAAATTAGGAAATATATTCAAAAAAAAAAAAAGAGAATAAGATATACCAAATTGGTACTTGATTGATTCAAACAACAATAAAAATCTGAAATAATAAATATTGCTAAGAACAATAATATTTTTCAATACAACAGTTTCTGATATATTAATTTAGGTTTAAAATTAATTTTATACTGATGTGGATTTAATATTTACAATTTGATAAAAATGTTATCTTAAAGGTCTTAAATGGAATCCATTTTACATGGAGGTGGTTGTGGAACTTCAAAAATAAATCCGTAATAATCAGAAATCTAAAAACCAGACAATTCAGATCATTACAATTTCTTTAAGAAATTCAAATTTTTATGTTGAGATAATTTGCACTAAGGCTGTGGTTGCTGCTGATTAGTCAGAGAATTAACAAATAATGAATGCTCTACAATGGTTTTGTTTTTAAGAAGAAAATATTTACAATCTTAATAAGAATGCTGAAAGTGTAGTGAAATCATACGATTAAATTTTAGAGGGAATCAGAAAGTTATTGAAAAGCTGTTTGATCTACATTAGGACAGATTCATTTAAATTTTTATATATCATATAGACAACAGCGTCTCTATCTAAAGTTATATTTAGCTTCCATATGCTAAAGAAGAACAGATTTATGAAATGTGATTTGTAACAGGAATTCTTGGACATTTCTGATGAACTAATATAAAATATGGAAATAGAGAAGAACGATTTGATTCAATGGAAGTCTATCTTTTCTTGACAAAAACTTATTTGAGGTCTCGCCAAATGGTAGTAAAGAAAGGGAAAAAATCTTATCAGGATGTTTAAAGGGTATATTGATTCGATATTTGATATGAAGCCAAACGAAGAATTGTTTAAATAATTGTTTCAGGGAGCCTGTCATCTTTACAAATCGTATTTAGATAACAAAAATAGAAAATAATTTGATGTTTATTTTTCAATAGATATGTTGTAATGGGAAAAACAAGTTATTTTAAGAATGAAACATTGCAAGATCTAGACGAAATAATTTTACGAGTTGAGGCAATAGAAAATAATATTGTAAAAAACTCAAATGAGTGGAAATATCATTATCTTTTGGAGTAAATGGTTGGGAAAATCTTATAATATAATCCTCTATTACCAAAACACAAACTACCCCAGGTCATTAGATGACATAAATTAAAGAAGAATTTAAAAAACAAAGTATTTTCAAACGTTGGCTTCTCATTTTTTGACTTACCAGTGACTCAACAAAATAAGCACAAAATTCTGAAAGATTTTATTGAAACTTATGAGGAATAAATTTACAAATTAACAACAGATTAGTTATTGCATTTTTTTTTTGAATTTGGTCAACTATCGTCAACACGTATATAAAAACAAGTGCGACGAACTTTAAAAACAATTTTCAGAAGTCATTTTACACCTTAAGGAAATTATGATCATAAAGTATTAAATAGAGACTGTTTTTTAAATTTTGAACTTGAAAAAATAAAATCAGATCTTGCTTATCTGCATTTTCTTAAATTTCTAGGAGGGACAAAAATCTGAAGTTAAACTTAAAATTGGTAGCTTTTTAGAAAACCTTTTCGTATAGTTTAGAAAAAACCAAACCAGAGGAAGTAAGATAGTTATTAGAAAAAATAAATTGTGATGAATTTCTACTGAGTGTGGTTGAAGATTTCCCAAAAAGAATTACTAGAGAAAACGAAGCATTAATTCAGATTGAATTAAAAAATATTCAAATCACAAAAAACGAGGACTTTGATTAAAGATTACCAAAGTAAAAAGGGATACTAAAATACTCATATTTAAATAAAGTGTAAATGAAAAACTGATTGAATAAGATCGAAAGATTTAGAGTTGATTTAGAAGGAATTTGGAGAATTTTTCAACTAAGAATCTTCTTCATAATTATCTATGGCGAAAATTAAGAAAATTTTGAAGATGAAGAATTAAATTCAGCAGAAATGATTTTGGAATAAGAAAAATATGAGATTTTTTTATCTCAATTAAAACAAATTGAAGATTTTAGAAAATATTTATAGATCGAAGAGTGGAATCAATTAATCAAACTTTTGAAAATTTTGGGTGTCCAGACAAGGAAATTATAAAAATGTTAATTAAAGCAGACCTCCTCCAATTAGGAAATATAATAAGCTAATAAAAAATAAATTATGAAGAAGATTAAGTAACGATATCTCCAAATGATTAGATAAGATAGGAGAGAGATGAAATAAAAGACAATCAAAAATTTCAATAAATTGGATAAATTAAAATGAATGATTAATAAGTAGGAAAAGTGAAAATGGAGTTGTCGCTAGATACAAGTAAATAAATTGAGAAGTATTAAAAAGAATGTAATTACAATTTTCATAAGTCAATTTAGATTAGAGAGAAGATGAAAATTTTTATTCGTATTTGGAAAGTTAAGAAACCAAGTTATTTAAAAGGGTTAATGATAAAGAGATTACTCAAGTTGAATAGGATTTTCTAATTTAATAAATTAAAAAAATATCCTTAGAGGAAGATAGTGAAGAAGTAGATGAAGAGGTAGAATCCATAGAATAATTCGGCTTTATAGATAATTTGGTTCAAAGGTCCAAAGACTTTACAAATAATGAATAACGGAAAATTAAATAGGGTCTAGCTTTTACTATAATTTAAATTTCATCTAATTGTTTGTCAGAGTCTCTTACTTCTTTCTGTTAGAAAGTTCTTATCTAACTGTGGGTTCAAGAAAAAGATCTAAGGGTTAGAAACATTTTAAAAAATGAAAAATTGATAAGTATGTAAATGCAGATTCTGTCGAAAGGTTGGTAGACTTAACACAATAGAATCGCAGGGGGAAATGTAGGAAATGTTTAGCAGAATTGATGAATTGTGAGAAAAAATTTCTCATGAGGCTAATCTCAACAAGCGAGATCTATACCTTAAAGAACTTGATGAAACAACAGAGCAATTAGATTAATAAATTGAAAATATCAGTGAAATGGGTTAATAATTGAGACTGCTAATTGATTTGTTAATCATATCAGAAAAGGATTGATCAGAGTTGAGAGGAAAATCAATGAAATGAAGGAATAACTCAAAAAGCATACTTTACTTTTCAAAGTAATGAAGCCTTAAGAAATCTAATGGTAAAAGTATAAAAACTGTGGAGTGTTGAAACTTATGAAAAGATGATGAAGCAAATAAATTTATATAATTTGATAGAAACTCCATATATGATGGAAATAAGAGTTAAGTGCTGCCTAAAATGATGGTGAAAGCCTCTGATATAATTAATTTGAGATTAAATTTTCGATAAAATTTTCCAAATATGCTTCATGAGTCTTACAAAAGTAACTATCTAATTCAGATGTATAATTTGCAATAGAAAAGTATATATAACAGGGTAATAATGAAAAACAATAATAGGATAATAAGAAAAAATAAATATAGGATAATAATGAAAATGAATAACAGGATAATAAAAAATATAGTATAATAGGATAATAATCAAAAACAATAACAAGATAATAATGAAAAAGAATTACAGGAAAAAAATGAAAACGAATAACAGGATAAGAATAATGAAAATGAATAACAGCATAATAATGAAAAAGAATAACCAAATAATTATGAATAACAATAACAGGTTACTCAAACTGATGTGAAAAACTTGGATAGAATTAATTACTTTTTCATTGATGATGAGATTTGGAATAAAATGGACAATTGCTTGATCTTAAAAAATATCTCATATTTGAACACTACCTTTAACACTTCAAAAATGAGTTTACAAAATTTAGAATTGAGAAAGACAGAATGATTGAAGTTGTTTGCAATGCATTATCTGAACTGACGTTTATGATGAATTTATTAATTAGTATCATTATCAACAAAAAGAAAAGTAGAGAAATCTGGGGAAATTAATACATATTTATTGATCGGTTTTTACATGACTTAAAAAAGTATTCAATCAATCTTGCAAAAGTAATCAGCACAAAATAAAGACATAAGTTTAATATTAATAATAAGGATTCTGTATTAGGAAGAAAAATAAGAGGAAAAGTGGTAAAATGAATTTTTTAACGATGATGATCCCTATAAAAAGGATTTAAGGAGTTGTTCATTACTTTAATAAAAAGGTATAAACTTTTAATTCTCTAAGAGTTCTTTGTAGCGGCTGATTTATATGGCGTATTAGTTTTATTTAAAGATTTTCAACTGCTAATATTCAATTAGGTACTAGTATAGCTATCTAAAAGGAAACAATTATGATCAAAATTTTTAGAATAGCTAGAAAATCAAATGAATTAATAGAATCTAACTATAGGTGATGTTTCAATTATTGAAAAAAAAAATATTGCATAAACTCTTACATATGGAGAAACAAAAAAATAAAGAACGAACCTTTGATAATAGAACTTTAAAATTTCTTGTATATTTAACAGTAATTGATAAAAGTTTTATTTAAGGGGGGTCGGACTCGCTGAATTTTTTAATTGAGATGCAGGTTGATCTAAAAAGTCATAATTTATTAAAAATAAGAATCACGATACTATGTTAGCACCTGGCAGTGAGGATAACTCCATCCTTTTATGGGGTGTTAGGACAGAATAATCGAATAATTTTTCAGCCAATACATATGACGAAATTTAGGTTAATAAAGAGAGATATCATTTTAAATAAGAAGCCTTAACTAGAAGTGATTACTATCTCTTTCTTTTTGTGCCATACAGCAATTTAATTAGCTTTTGGAGAATTTTTTGATTTATTAAAGAGAATAAAGAACATAATATCATTTTTTTGTAATTAAGGGACGAGAAATTAATATAATTTTATGTCTTCTGAACACAAAAAAAAAAAAGCTTTATGGTAAGGGCCCCTGCTTCGGAGGGCGGTGGGTGGTGTGAAATAGATGAGATGAGGGAAGTGATATGAGCAAAGCAGGATAGAACAAAAAGTTTATACTTGACACCCCCCTATGCCACAGGAGGTAAAAAGGAAGAATAGAAGTAGAGGAGCAAAAATTGGAAAGAGGGGGACAAGAGAGATATGTGAAATTTTAAATTCACAAGTATTATATTATATTTAAATAATAAACTATTTTTTATATCAAGTTGCAACATTAAAACTTTTAAGAGAAAATACTACATTTATGTAATTTAAATAAATTTAGTTAATTTAAAAATTTATTCTTTAATAGGGTTAAATTCATAGTTATAGAGAAGAACAATTTTGTTAATTTTTGAACATTCTCCATTATGTTTATGAATATAACAATAACAATTTAGGGTAATTTCTTTATTTCATAATGAATTAATTGAAT